GACTTAATCATTCCAAACAAGAAAGTTCATTGGTTTTTATTGTACTTTTCCCTAATATTTATCAGTATTAGTAGTAAATCATTTTTATTTATAAATAATTAATTTTACTATAATTACTAATAACAAAATAATTAATATTAATAAATATTATAATTGAAAATAAAAAGCTTTTCATCCAACTAGTTTTTTTTTTTATAAGCTATAGCTTATGCTCATCTAAACATATACCTAAAAGAATTAGCCAACTTATAAGTTAACTTATATTTTACCAAACAATGTCTTATTGTCAGTTAGGGGTTGTTTGTTTATCTCTTAATAGTTTCATTAGAAGACAACTTTTGAATCTTTAAGAGCTGAATCTTGTTTGACAAAAAAAAGTTTGCTTCTTAATGGTTCTAAAACTCTATGAATGATTATGCATCATGAATCTCCCTTAACCATTAAGAGTCCTAATTAATTTCATTGTACACAATTATCAAACAATTATATTTCATTTTGCACTATATCATGAGAGCCTCTTAATCATTGTAACCATTTAATCATTCTGCACCAAACCATTCAACAATTATTAAACAGTCTGTTAATCTAAACCCTACAAAGTTGTATATCTTTCTTCTTTTTAGTCGACGTTGGTCGATGTAAAACGTCTATTCACCCGTTTTTTCCGTGCTAAATACATGTTCTTTTCACATAATTAATAGTGAAATAATGAACGGGGACCTCCTCCATTGGTCTTCTAAACCAAGCGGGTTCGTTAATGATGGTGGTAGTTATGTTTTTTAACATTCCAATTTTATTTCATTATAATAATTAGATGATATTTTTTTTGCTAATCTATATTATATCATAAAACATTTGACAAAAACTCTTAAAAACCATTTTTTATGCATAAAGTACTGTTTATTGATACATATTACTTAAAATTCAAGATTACAAATAAATCGTGCGTAGGTAAACTTAATAAAGATTCATGTTTGAATTCATGTAACTAACTGCAGATAAACATAGTCAAATACAAGATAAACATTTCATTTTAAATATAAAAAATTTAAAATATATTTAAGATAATCATTGATTTCTAACAGAATACTTAATTATTATTCTTTTAAAAGATTATATTATGAAATCAAAAATAAATTACTTCATTATTATCTAAATTAAATTGTAATAAAAATTGAATTAAAACAAATTACATAAAAAATAAGAATTTTTACATAATTAATTTGATACTGATATTGATATATTTGATATCTTCAAATTTATATTTTTTTCAAAAACAAAAACATTATCCTTTTCTTAAAACCACATAAAAATTGTATTATAACATCTACAAAAAAGAAATAAATCAAAACATTAAAATTAAAATATATCTCGCTGTATTACGTAAGTATCATTCTAGTTATCTATAATCCATGATCCTATAAAGTATAGAGTATGTTTTTGTAAATGACTGAACACTTAATGTCAAATTTAAAACATTTGATGTCATATTAGTTGGAGCTTTTTCATAATAAAGGTTGATTTGTAAGTAATTTGTTTAGTTTATTATTTATGTATTGAAATCTTAAAAAAAACGAATTTATAATAATATTAATAATAATAATAATAATAATAATAATAATAATAATAATAATAATAATAATATAATGATCATAAAGTTTATATTTAGAAGTAAGAATAATAAAAATATTAATAATAGCTTATCAATAATAAAAAAAATAATTAAGTTATAATGATTGGTAAATAAAATAAAATAATTAATAATAAGTGTGTAAATAATAAATAAAGGGGTGTTATAAAATCACTTATATTAATAGTGGGTAATTAAGTGAGTCATTGGTCCAGCACGTGCATGCTTATAATTATGAGTCAATACATGCACTGACTATATATGACCATCATCCCCACCATTTCTCCTCATCTTTCAAGCTTACACCAATCTTCTTAATCATATCCTAAACAACAACAAAAATGTTCACACAAGCTGAACTCTATCAGTCCCACCTTGAATCCATTCGGAAGCATCTTCTCGATGATCACTGCGAGCTTTTTCCTGATATTCACCAAAACCCTAGTAGTTTTCCGGGGTATAACTTCGATGATTGGAGTTTTCTTGAAAACTCAGACGAATCATCTGAAAAAATGGAAGAAATCTCGACTTCTTTCATGGGTTTGAGCTCATGGGACTCATCGGAGATGTATAGCCCTGGTTCAAATCTGATTTCTCCATATACTGTGGATGATCATGTTGAACCGTCACTGAATCTTGATGATTTTGACATGTATAGCATTTTAGATGATAACAGTGACAGAAATCTTCAGGTCTCTCGTAGCCAACACAACACCACAGAAATGTTTCCAGACACCAATATAGAGTTCACCGAGATTCCAGCCGTTTCCAACGAAGCGCAACCAGAGTTTTTTGTGGCCACAGTTGCTAATCTTTCCGGCATCAGCAATACCACGGAGGGAGCTGCGAGCAAGCCGCTAAACTGGGATTTCTCGACAGGGCATGTCATTGGTTTTGATGATGAAGCGTTTTCGGGTGGAAAAGACGACCTAGATGCGGTAACTCTGATGGGTGGTTGTTTTGCTGAGGATGGGGATGTAATTCCAGCTAAACAGCTACCATTCATTCCAGACAAGAGGTACAGAGGGGTAAGACGACGGCCATGGGGGAAGTACACGGCGGAGATGCGGAACCCAGAGAAGAAAGGTTCGAGATTGTGGCTAGGGACCTACGAGACACCAGAGGAAGCAGCCATGGCGTACGATCGAGCAGCTTTTAAACATCGTGGGTCTAACGCTTTGCTGAACTTCCCGCATTTGATCGGGTCACACCATGAAAATCCCAAGAAGCATACCACCAAAAACCGTGATGCAGCTAACAAGTCCAGGTCCTCATCATCTTCTTCTTCGTCATCGGAGTCCTCAAAGAAAATCAACAGGAAGAAGGGCAAAAATTCTGCTATTTAGTGTTTCTAATTGCAGTGATACTTGTACCTTGCTGATATATGGGAATACGATAGGAAGAGACTATGCAATATATTTGGGATTTGTAAGTAGTCTTCTGTACTACTTCATATTTCACATTCTACAAATCAATGTTGGCTCTTATTTTATATGTTTTGAATTTGTAGACAATTATCAAATTAGATGAGGGTAGAATAATTTTTGAAACAAATTATATCAAATCAGTTACAGGTAAGGTTTAGAGTAAATACTAGAATAAATTTAATCCACGAATTGATAATCTAGACGCATTGTGGAAATTGATTTGTACGATTTATATTTGAAATATATATAATATATTTCAAAAGTAGAGAGGTGATCCTATCTTTCATCTGGTTAAGATTTACGACTTTGACTAAAAAAACATTATATAATTTCTTGTATGATATTCCAAAGATAGAGGGGTGGTTTGTAATTAACTTTTGTAGATAGGCGGCAAAACAACTACATATGTAAACTCATGATAATTCACATATGAACCGTATGATTCACATATGAAATAATTAAAAGATTCACATATGAACCCGAGTGAATCACATATGAACTAATTAACTGATTTACATATGAACTATTGGTTCACATACGCACTTGTTTGCCTCCTATTTGTAAAAATTATGAAACTACTCATCTATTTTTCGCTTCACCAGTCAAAGCCTAAATCTTGTTAAGTTAAAGCTGCAATTTTAACCAATATTGACCGTATAAAAGGTTATGATCATTTCTTTACTTCTCAAATATTAACCACTTATCAAATGAACCTCTCTCTCTCTCTATATATATATATATATATATACACACACACACACATATATATATACATACACACACACACATATATATATACATATATATATATATATATAGGGGCTTAATCATTTGAGTTCTCCAAAATTTATGAGATCGGTAAGAACTTCGACGTTAAGGTTTTATTTCACGTAATTTTTTTCATCTAAATATATATTTAATATATTATTAACATATATTTGTTTCACAATGTCTTTGTTTCATATGTATTCGGTTCACAATGTGAAACTTTTTACGTGTATTTTGTGTTTCACAAACATGTAAAAGAGGTTCATATTGTGAACTGAGTACAAGTGAAACTAGCACATTTTGGAACAAATATATGTTATTCAATATTCTAAATCCTAGTCTTAGATGGAAAAAAAACATATGAAGTAACACATGATACACAAATTCTCAAGCTTATCACAATTTCATGGGATACAAAATCAGTGACTGAATAAACCTAGTGATACAAAAATAGTGTTAGGAGTCATTATGATAAATATGTGATTGATTACAATAAAAGTAATGTGTTTAATGTAACACTCTCAAATTTGGAAAGAGCGACTAACTTAAATTTTTCATTAATACAACAAATGGGTAAATCCCTTTTCGATATATCAAAACTTGAATTACCTCGAATTATGAAGTCTAAAATCATCAATAACACTAAGTTAAGGTCGGACGCTACTATATTCCAATAACTCTCGCTATCTCCAAATGTGAAAGACATCAACAAAAGGCTAAAAATTTCTCGTGCAACTATTTAACACTCATCTCATTACAATGTCGCTAGTACCATACCCAACAAGAACCTGATGCATATGCAGACAAATAAAAAGGTTAGACTTGACATCTTGTGAACTCAAGCAGTTTTCATCATAATCATAAAATGGTAAAACTGAAAACTGTTAATTTTAATCATAATTTTGCTAATAAAATATATTTATAATAAAAGCAACATCTTTCAAAAACCTAAAATTTTCTTGATGAAAAGTCATTAATTAGAATACACAATTATATGCAACCAAAACCCAATACTCATGCGGCCAAGAATAAAGTATAAAACATTAAAAATGGGAAACAAACAATTAATCAAGTTTTATAAACAATTAATTCACGTTTACCCTTGAAAGGGCACAAAACCATCCGAAGATGACGGAAGAGACCTGATTTACCATTTGTCATGACTAAACACATAGTAAGCCATAAACTAATGTTATAGAAGCATTACTCATTGATAAGCATATCATGACGTCAACCAAATCCAGTCTGTAGTCAAATAAGGTAATAAGCTTATAGATAAGTACACAATGACATCAACCAAATCCAGTCTACAGTCAGATAAATACACGATGACATCATCCAAATCTAGTATATGGTGCAATGAGATAATAAGTTCGTTCACTTGAAAATTACATAATAATCATAATACCTCGTTCACTTGAAAATTACATAATAATCATAATGCCTATTTTCATGCTACAGTAAGGGATGAATTGGAAATTACATAATAATCACAATGCTTATTTTCAATAACACAGAAGGAATCTCAAGTTAAACTCGTTCACTTGGAAATTACATGATGATCACAATGTTTATTTCTAAGTTACAATTTGAGAATCACATCCCTCGCATACTCTATAAAACCGAGTCTTTTGCCTATGGATCCATCACATTACAATTTAAAATTACATGAAACTAATTGAATGATTAACATATTTAAAACGTATAATATATCAAATAGTTATGTCATAACTGCCTATAACTCCAAAAACTCGACATAGAGCAAATTAAATCGGACAAATGTCCCCCAAACTCATTTAAGTCAAACTAAGCCATGTGCTCAAAAATTCCATTGACTATAAAATAAAATTCATTAAAAGGGATGAAACATACTTAACCAACGCTTATGCAAATACATGCTCCAAGACGTGATTAACTCAAAAATTCATCACCGGTTGAGACAAACCATTTTCCAATGAAAACATATCATATTATTTCTAAAATGTCTTCGAACGTGATAACATGCATTTTCTAAACAAAATATAAAACCAAATACACCATAATGCATTATTATCAAATAAAATCTATTTGTACAATAAATCATTAAAATGACATATTCTTGTCACTTATTTATCAAAATGTCCAAAACTCCCAAATATGGACATTTCTCAAGATTTATAAATTCAATATATTATAATGCAAACCTCATCAAATAATAACCACATTTGTTAGATATCAAGGGAAACATTTTGATACATCAAAATAGACATTTTTGGCATGTATATAGTTTTCACAAAGCAACTTTAATTCAACTTACTAGATTTAGGCTAAATATAGGTTTTAGTGGAAAAAAATTCACGATATTGTTTAGTATGATGAAATTGTTTCAAATATTTCATTTCATGAAGAAAATATTTCACATGTTTTTGTTTTTATGTAATAATTAAATTGTTTCATGTATTTCTCATTTTGATAAAATTTCTTAACTAAAATTAGTAGAATGAAGATGATAATGTCTAAAATTATTTTTAACAATTTCATCATATCGAATAATTTCATGAAAAAATTTCACTAAAATAAACAATGAAATTGAAGGTTTTCACGGTTGGTACAAATAGCTATGTTTGCAAAATCTCTCTCCCATGTATGTGTGTGTGTGTGTGTGTGTATATATATATATATATGTATATATATGTATGGGCATATTGGTCTCAAAGTGTTTTAGTACCATTTACATGTTTTAATACCATTTCCATTCAATTGTTATGTTATCTATTTGTATTATTAATAAATATAGAAAGGTTGTTGCTCTCAACCATCGGATTTGATATATACCATAACATTCTATCAAACACTTTGAATGTTTTAGGAGTTGTTGCTACTATCCAAAATACAAAGATCATCTGAAATGTTAGAGGATCCAACTTATATAGGATCTGATAGTCCAAGATCAAAAATATACAAGGACGTGTTTTTGGTGTATTCGAAATACACCTTGTAATTGGGATCCCTAGTCATCCTTTTAAATATTATTTTCATTATAAATTCTTTAAGTCCTTTTTTGTGATATGTTATCTGATCAAGCAAAAAGACTTCAGCAAAAATTGAAGATTAGTTGAAGTGAAGTTAGATAGACACCACAGTGAATTGGATTTATCATCTAGGCGATACAAGATCAAAAGACAGCTAAGTCAGATAGTTTGACAGTTACTATCTGGCAAGCCGATTTGATATGAAGACTTTGGGGCCAAGTTTCTCTTACCAACTCTAGCCCTTGCGTGGGACTCTTTCAACATCTCAGCCAAAATAAGTATACTTATTTTACTATTCACTCTGCACACAAAAAGCACAGATGAAGATATGACGAGAGAACTTTGGGGCTAAGTCTTCATCCCATGTCCCAGTATGGGAACATGCTTAGCATCTCAGGCAAAGTAATTTCGAAGTATTATTTTATTAGTACCATACTTTCTTTATTGTTTACTCTACATACAGAAGAATGTGTTTGAAGCAACAAGTGTCTGCATCATATCAAATAGCTGATATGAAAAGTACAAAGATACATGGATCAATAAATTAAATGAGCTTACCTTCTGATCGATTCGTTGAGTTCAGAATTGATCTAACGATCGGGGCAACACTAGTGGCTAGGGCACCATACGTTTGGCATCATCTTAATTGTAAGAGTTGATGACCCAGATGCAAGAATTGTTTGATAAGGGTTTTATCAGACCGAGTACATCTCCTTGGGGTGCTCCTGTGTTATTCGTTAATAAGAAAGACAGGACTATGAAAATGTGTATTGATTACCTAGAATTGAATAACTAACAATAAAGAATAAATATCCTTTGCCAAAAATCGATGATTTATTTGATCAATTAGTTGGGGCAAGTTACTTCTCCAAAATTGATTTGTGGTCAGGATATCATCAGTTGAAATCTAGAGAAGAGGATATTGCTAAAAATGCATTCCGAATAAGATATGACATCATGAGTTTTTGATCATGTCGTTCGTACTAACTACTACTCCAACAGCGTTCATTGATATGATGAATAGGGTATTTAATGAATATCTTCATAAATTTGTTATTGTATTTATCGATGATATTCTTATATACTCACGATCAAAAGCTGAACATGCCAAACATCTTCATCTAATTCTCGAACTTTTAA